CCACTTTTCTCTCCTCAAACCTAGAGAGTGAGAAAGTACATGTGTGTGTTTTTTATATTAAAGGCTTTCAACTAAAAAGATAATGTCTTTTTGGTTAGTAGCAGACTATGCCAGGCAATAATTAGTATGACCCCCTTTTAAGAGGGGAAGAGGTAAGAAGACAAAAAAAAAAAAAAAAAAAAGAAGAGAAAGAAAGAAAAAGAGCCCTTTCCACCACTTCAAAACCTTGCAACCAGGCTTCCTTTACAAGGTTTTCCTCCTTAAAAGGTGAGAAAAAAAAAAAAAAAAAAAAGAAAAAGAGAGAAAAGAAAAAAGTCCTTTTTCATAGTTTCCTTACTGCTTGAACTTTTAAAGGTAGTCAATAGATGAACAATAGGGAAGGAGGCAGAAATGTATTTTCACTTATCCAAGTGGAAAAGAAAGCCATTTTCATTTTGGCTTAAAAAAAAAAAACAAAAAAAAAAACACGTAAATTTAAAAAAAAAAAAAAAGAACACCTGAATTTAAAATAACAAAAAAAAGACACCTAAATTTAAAAAAATAAAAAAACATAAATTTTAAAAAAAATAAAATAAAAAACGTAAATTTTAAAAAAAATAAAATAAAAAACGTAAATTTTAAAAAAAATAAAATAAAAAACGTAAATTTTAAAAAAAATAAAATAAAAAACGTAAATTTTAAAAAAAATAAAATAAAAAACGTAAATTTTAAAAAAAATAAAATAAAAAACGTAAATTTTAAAAAAATAAAATAAAAAAAAAGTTTTAAACATTAATAAAAACATTAGCTTCTTAACGTTGCATTCATCAGGCTATCTTGCTGCTGTGGCTGCAGTACGTGTAATGCCCCTATGACCATGATAGGTTATGGGTCTTGTGATCAGGAGAGGTTTATTACTTGTTTCCTGTTCCTTCTCAAAGTTTTGTCATGTTCTTTCATCCCCAGTAGCTTCTTGCATCTTAGTGGCTTTATTACCTTGCTTGGGGGTGAAAGGATTGAAAAGAAAAAAATAAATAAATAAAGTAAAAAAAGAGAGATCTGCTCCTCCTAATTTCAATTAAAATAGTCAATAAATTCATTGTTTAGTTTGATCTCTCATTGGGACCCAAATAAGAATGGATTATTAAGCTACATTCTGTGAAAAGCTTAAAAAATTCATGCCCTTTGGCAGGATTTTAAGGTATTTATCATTAATTCTATTCTAAATCATTTATTTTTGATAGTACAGCAGCAGATTGGTGGCTTAAATAGAGACTCCATCCTGACTGTTATAATGATTGGTATTTAGACTACTAATAAAATATCATAAACCCAATTCAATTATATATATATATATAAATATATATATATATATATATAAAATAATATATTCATTATATATATATATATATATAAATTTTCATCCGGCAAAATAATTTTTTTTCTTTTTAAAGAAATTCACCCTTTTTAAGATGGGAGTGCCACTAGCATGCAAGGGGTTACAGAAAGTGAGAACAAGAGTAGAGAGGAGTGTTTGCGGAAAGGATATAGAGAAGGAAAGGGATCAAGATCAAGGCATCTGAAGATGTGGATTGACATTGGATTTAAACATTTGAAGATTATAACTATCAGGGAATCAAGTAAGAGAAAGGGAGTTCCACTGTTGGGAAGTGCGAGAGAAGATACTGTTGGAGTAGAAGAGGCGGTTACATTTAACTGTTTTGACAATGAAAAGGTGGGACCAAGATGCCAACCTAGTAACACGCTTATTCATGCAGTTGGGGTACAAGTGAGAGTAGCTCATCAGAGTAGTTGCCATGAAAATATTTGTAGAAAAAGTAAAGGGAAGCCACAGCACGTATGTGAGAAAGTGACTGCAGACAAGTAGTGTATAAAATATTTAATATGTATACAAAATAAAGGACATAAAAAAATTTGTTTCATTCTTTTTTGATAAGATCTAGCTCTATGTAATCGTTTTACACTTGACTTCACTTCGGACTAATTTGAATCCCGCCATAAATGCCCCCCTCCGAAAAAAAAATATATCAATTGTGGTGAGGATATGATATATAAACAATGTTAGGCAAAAAGTATAACAAAGCAGAAAGAAAAAGGATTTTTAAAGTTTCAAATTTTAGTCTTCATATATCAGTGCATAACTGTTTTTATATTGCCACTTCTAACACATAATCCCATCAACAAAAACATTACTTTAGCCTGTGAAGTTATAAAGTATGAAACACATCAAACAATTTATTACATATATTATATCTATATTATAATTAAAATTAACCCCCTCCCACCGATACATTTATAACACACTTGTTTTGCTTTTTTTCTTCTTTTCCTTCCTTCTTCATCTCCTTCTCATTTCCTATCACATCCAATGTTGTGTGCTTGTTTATTTTTTTAAAATAATATTGCGTTCATTAGTTTTTTTTTTTTTAAAAAGCGTTGGGAGTGCAATTGATAAAACTCACCTGAGGATACTGTAAAGTTGAAACCAAGGTAGCAAATTCAACTGATCTAATTTGTGTGTGTGTGTGTGTGTGTGTGTGCGCAAGTATATATAAAAAATTTTTAGTGCGCGTGTATAAAAATTTTTTAGTGTTATGTGTGTCTTGTATATATATAAAAAAAAATCTGTATAAAAAAATTTTTTAGTGTGTGTGTGCATAAATTTTTTTAGTGTGTGTGTGTGTGTGTGTGTGTGTGTGTGTGTGTGCATATGAAATTTTTTTAGTGTGTGTGTGTGTGTGTACATATAAAATTTTTTAGTGTGTGTGTATGTATAAAAAATTTTTTAGTGTGCGTCTCTACAAATTTGTGTGTGTGTGTGTATAAAAAATATTCTTTGTGTGCAACTATAAAAAAATTTTCTGTGTGTGTGTTTTAAAAATTCTAGACATGAATTTATAACAAAATCATGTCAACCATAATAAAAGATATACAGTTCTTGATAATGATGGTTGTAAATACTTTTAACAAAAAACAGAAAACATGAACTTCAGAAAGTTTATCCAAAATTTTGATTTGGATATAAAATACAAAATTCAGAAGAAAAAAAAAAAAAAAAAAAAAAAATTTAAAACAGACATTTTGGTTGAATTTAGCAGAGTGTGTAAGCGATATTTCAATTGCCCTGTGAGAGGAATCAACAGTTCTGTTTGCAACTTAACTGCATGTGAGTGCACACAATTATGACAAAGGCTTGTGGAGAAATGACAGTACCTCAGAAGAACTGATAAAAGAAATTTTATTGTGATGCAAAGTCCTCATACATCCCTCTTTAGATTTGAATTTAAATCTACCTTTCTCTGAGAGGTTACCAACAAAGACAAACAGATCCCAGTTTACCCTGCTATTTAACCCATAGCTGGTGGGAAAGGGAGATGAATCTAGCCCCAGGAGCATTAGTACAAAACAAATATAGCATTATCTAAGAGAAAGAGGTTTTGCTGCCAGAGAGAAATTAATGAGATGGATAGATAGAAATTTCTTTATGATACGGGAGGTGGGTGAGGTGCTTTTGAATAAAAAAAAATATTACAGTCATACTGCAAAGAGATAAAAAGTAATTACATAAATAGTCAAATTAAATCCTAGTGAGACAATGTTTCAGGTGCCCGCTTTCAGCTCGAGAAACAGATGTTTATTAACAAAGTGCCAAGTACTAACAATTCAGATATCCTTGAAAAGTCATAAAAAAGTGTGTATGTGTGTATTGGGGGGGGGTTGTCTTTAATTGAAAAAAAAAAAAAAAAAAAAAAAAAAAGAAAGAAAAAAAAACATATGCTGAAGTTGCTAACATCTACAACAAGAACAAATCTACTTGTGAGACAAAAGTAGGCTTATACTATTTGTTTCAGGTTTTAGATCCAACTTTGCTGAACTGTTCTTTCAGTAAAGGACTACCTTAACCAAACCTTTCCACAGCTCAGTTCAGTTGGTTTGGAAGAAAGGGCAGCAGTGAATGGCCACTGAACTTACCTGACCAAACACCAATGGATTTCGTTTTGGGGGATGTAGTAAAGAACAAGGTTTATGAAAGAAATCCCCACACAATGGACAAATTAAGAGAGTATATCTCAGAAGTATTTATTGAAATTAATACAGATCATGATTTGTGCCATGATGTGTGTCCTAGGGTTCTGGAGAGGTTCCGGGAATGTTGCAGGAGGACATTTCGAGCACAATGAGATTAAATGAAAATAAAAAAAAAAATTTTTTTTTAAAATGAAAAAAAAAAAAAAAAAAAAATATAATGTAAGTAAGATGCTAAACAAATATAAATACATAAACAGTTTTAAACAAATATGATTGTAATGAATACAATAAACTGTTATTTAAAAGAATGTTAAGCGCGTATCTGCTAAGTATAAGCATACTTTTGGCCCACCCTGTTGATCGATTCATTCTCTATGGCTTATCATCCCTTTGCAGGTTAACAGTTTTTTTTCAAGTTCTTTTACAACTTGGATGATCATGGTTCTCCATGACTTCTTGTCACCTCATCACTAAGCAACATTTGGCTACTATCCCAGCATCCATTTACAAACTTAGATTATTAGACGTTTCACTACTTGCCTTCAGAATGTCCTTCAAGTGTTAAATTCTCACAACTTTTTCCTCATTATGTGTACCAGAAAATTTCAAATGTGATCCTAAGTTGACCTACTTTATTACAAATTTTGATAATCTCATTGTGCTTGATTTATAACAAATTTTATCATCGGCAGATATGGAAAAGAGGGGGAGGTAGAGGGTTAGTTTCATCTGTGATTCTTTGGGAATCTTGAAACCTTATCGTCTTTGGATCAGGAGCAGAGGGTGAAGCTACTGTATGTTTATAAATTATTTTACTCGTTTCATTGAAAGATTAGAGGTGCGGAAATATGTTTGTAAATAGTATGCTTAGTATTATTGAAACCGTAATTGTATAGAAAGATCTTCAAGCAGTGGATTATGGAAAGAAAGGATACTGTTCTGGACAGACTAAATCCAATTTTCTTGGAAAGATGGTGTATCACCTTGGAGATATCAAGGTGGAAGATACAACAAAAGCAAAACTCTTAGGGGGGGGGAAGGAATTAGCAATCATTGCAATATATTTTGTATTCATATTTTGTGACAAAAAGGACTATAGCTGCCTATATCTATCTATCTATCTATCTCCATATAGCTGCCTATATCTATCTATCTATCTATCTCCATATAGCTGCCTATATCTATCTATCTATCTATATCTATCTATCTATCTATCTCCATATAGCTGCCTATATCTATCTATCTATCTCCATATAGCTGCCTATATCTATCTATCTATCCATATCTATATCTATCTCCATATAGCTGCCTATATCTATCTATCTATCTATCTCCATATAGCTGCCTATATCTATCTATCTATCTATCTCCATATAGCTGCCTATATATCTGTCTATCTATCTCCATATAGCTGCCTATCTATCTATCTCCATCCATATAGCTGCCTATATCTATCTATCATCTATCTCCATCTATCTATCTATCTATCTCCATATAGCTGCCTATATCTATCTATCTATCTATCTCCATATAGCTGCCTATATCTATCTATCTATCTATCTCCATATAGCTGCCTATATCTATCTATCTATCTATCTCCATATAGCTGCCTATATCTATCTATCTATCTATCTCCATATAGCTGCCTATATCTATCTATCTATCTATCTCCATATAGCTGCCTATATCTATCTATCTATCTATCTCCATATAGCTGCCTATATCTATCTATCTATCTCCATATAGCTGCCTATATCTATCTATCTATCTATCTCCATATAGCTGCCTATATCCATCTATAGCTGCTCCATATATCCTATCTATCTATCTATCTCCATATAGCTGCCTATATCTATCTATCTATCTATCTCCATATAGCTGCCTATATCTATCATTCTATCTATCTATATATAGCTGCTATATCTATCTATCTATCTATCTATCTCCATATAGCTGCCTATATATCTATCTATCTATTCATCTCCATATAGCTGCCTATATCTATCTATCTATCCATATAGCTCCTATATCTATCTATCTATCTATCTATCTATCTCCATATAGCTGCCTATATCTATCTATCTATCTATCTCCATATAGCTGCCTATATCTATCTATCTATCTATCTATCTCCATATAGCTGCCTATATCTATCTATCTATCTATCTATCTCCATATAGCTGCCTATATCTATCTATCTATCTATCTCCATATAGCTGCCTATATCTATCTATCTATCTATCTCCATATAGCTGCCTATATTTCTATCTATCTATCATCTCCATATAGCTGCCTATATTCATCTCTATCTATTCCATATAGCTGCCTATATTCATCTATCTATCTATCTCCATATAGCTATATCTATCTATCTATCTATCTCCATATAGCTGCCTATATCTCTATCTATCTCCATATAGCTGCCTATCTATCTATCTCCATATAGCTGCCTATATCTCCATATATATAGCCCTATATCTATCATCTATCTATCTCCATATAGCTATCTCTATCTCTATCATATAGCTGCCTATATCTATCTATCTATCTATCTATCTATCTATCTATCTATCTCCCATATAACTGCCATATGCCTGCCTATCTATCTATCTATCTATCTCCATATAGCTGCCTATATCTATATCTATCTATCTCCATATAGCTGCCTATATCTATCTATCTATCTATCTCCATATAGCTGCCTATATCTATCTATCTATCTATCTATATAGCTGCCTATATCTATCTATCTATCTATCTCCATATAGCTGCCTATATCTATCTATCTATCTATCTCCATATAGCTGCCTATATCTATGCCTCTCCATATTGCATTTATCATATCTATCTCCATATAGCTGCCTATATCTATCTATCTATCTATCTCCATATAGCTGCCTATATTCATCTATCTATCTATCTCCATATAGCCCTATATCTATCATCTATCTATCTCTATATCTATCTATCTATCTATCTCCATATGGCTGCCTATATCTATCTATTCATCTATCTCCCATATAGCTGCCTATATCTATCTATTATCCTCCATATAGCTGCCTATATCTATCTATCATCTATCTCCATATAGCTGCCTATCTATCTATCTATCTATCTCCATATAGCTGCCTATATCTATCTATCTATCTATCTCCATATAGCTGCCTATATCTATCTATCTATCTATCTCCATATAGCTGCCATATCTGCCTATCTATCTATCTCCATCTGCTATCTATCTATCTATCTATCTCCATATAGCTGCCTATATCTATCTATCTATCTATATATGCTATCTATCTATCTATCTCCATATAGCTGCCTATATCTATCATCTATCTATCTCCATATCTATCTCCATATATAGCTGCCTATATCTATCTATCTATCTATCTCCATATAGCTGCCTATATCTATCTATCTATCTATCTCCATATAGCTGCCTATATCTATCTATCTATCTCCCATATAGCTGCCTATATCTATCTGTATATCGATCTCAACAAAAAATACAAATAAAATATAAAAATAAATGCACATTTCAACACAAGTTTTTGGGGTTTTTTTTTTTAAGAATTCAACTTTTCACCAGGTGTATGTGATCTATTCCTAGAGTTTTAATTAGGTTATACTACCACACCCTTAAAATAAAAATATTTCTTTCCCCAACTGCTGCTTTGTTCAGGTGATGGCTAACAAGTATCAATCAACCTTCAACCCCAGGTCTGCTAACTGAATGTCTGCTTCTCTCACTGCCACACCAATTCCGTAAATACAAATTTGATGTGAGGGTTGAAACAAGTGCATTTTAATCAGTGACACGCCTTTTTTCCTTTTAGCACACACAAAAAAATTCAGCTATGCTAATAAAAAGGAAACAAAAAAAACAAAAAAAAACCAAACAAAACAGCCTAAACATCTTGCGGGGAGAGGGAGGGAGGGATAGAGATGACGATTGTGGGTCAATATATATATAGGTAAACAAACATTCTTTCCAATTGGAAAGTGGGAAAGGAAGGCTTTTATTTAAAAAAATAAAATAAAAACCTCGGCATGTCCTATTTCCTAAAATCTAATCCAATACCATGAGGAGGGGGGGGTAGTTTGAAGTAAATATATTGAAAATTTTTAGCACCATATAGAAGAAAACAATGAATATCTGACTGCATTCCTTATTAAATGCTTATTAAGTGGGGGGGGTTACAACTGCTGGCCATGAAATTGTAAGTCGTACTAAAAGGCACATTTTCATTAGGATTCTTGATCTGTTGACCAAATCCTACGGTTTAAAAAAAAAAAAAAAAAAAAAAAAAAAAATTTACTGACACATACGTACCTAGTTATAGTGCCTCACCCTAAAATGTTTAATAACTTATTACTGCAGTTACTGAGTTCAATCCTGACCAGGGCCTTCATTTACAAAATGAGGTAAAGAAGATTTATTGATAAAACAAAAAAACAAAACAAAAAAACAAAACAAAAAACAAAACAAAAAAAAAAAAAAAAACAAAAAAAAAAAACAAAAAAAAAAAACAAAACAAAAAAACAACACACGCACACAACAGCAGCTAAGCATAGTAGGGAAAAAATAGGACAGAGTAATGATTAATAAGACTGGATTTTTTTTTTTTCACTAATAATAATAATAATAATACAGAGTGTGTGTGATTTATTAAGTTCAATCAATGTCCAAGTCAGAAACAAATACGTAAGATTATGTTGCGGCAAATCAGTCAAACAAGGAGTCCCAAAAAAATCAGCATTTGCTATTTCTATTCTGGATTCAACAACCGATACATGCAAAAACACATCTACCAAACAATTAAGTTTTGCTGTTTTTATATATATATATATATATATATATATATATATATATATATATATATTCAACACCATCACTTGAGAAAACACCAGAAGTGTTGAAACAAAATGGCTATTTTTTGTAGTGATTTTATAACATCTTTTGTTATAATTTTCGAATAAATTATATATATATATATATATATATATATATATAAAAAATACAAAATGTTTTTTCACAAAAATGACCATCGTCACTGGTTTAAAAAAAAAAAAAAAAAAAGAAGTCACACATGGCTCGGATAACAAGTGAGATTCAGCTTGGTCAGACGTCCATCTTAACACAAATTTGAATTTGTAAATTTATAAAGTATGAAAGAGGGTAATTCCCTCCACTGTTTCTCATCTTTACTTACAGACAGTTCATTCAAAAAAATTGATTGCTGCATTTAAGTATTGCATTATTATTTAATAATAATAATTAAGCTTACCTTTTAAAAGTTCAACAATAATTCTTCTATCACCACTTAATTTAAAGACAAGTTGATGCACGTAGGTCCTTACTTTCCCTACAAACAATTATTATTTCATGGGCGACTTCTGCTGGATTTTGCAATTAATTTTGATTATTCCCAAGTTTACTCTGGTCCAAAGCTACATTAATGGGGCATAGATTGAATATGGAACTCACTCAGTTATGTGGCATGTGTGATACATGCTTAGGCGATCATGTCTTTCAATACATGACTGATGAGGCAGATTTTTTTTTCCCCACAGTAGGTTGCCATTTCTTTCTTCGGTAGACCAGTTGCCATCCAAGGCTATAGAATCCAGCCTGTCCTGCTATTTACCCATAGCTGGAGGGTTGGGGGAGAAGATGATGATCCATACTTTTCCTAAGGGTATTAGCACGTAAGTGAATGTAATGAGTTGACTGGAATTCAAACTTGGCTCTTTGATACCTCAATTGGAGCCGCTATCCATTACTCCACTGTATCTTCTCATATGGAACTCACTAATAAGTAATAATCATTTGTTAGACTTCTATGAAAATGTTTTAGCATCCTACTCATATTTTAATTAAGACATTTACCACCACAAAATGCACATCCAAGTTGATGGCACACTAGTGTCCATTCCATTTGAAAACATTTATTTTTTTAGTGATATTTTTTTAAAAATTGATAACATGGAAATGACACTGCCAAATACATAAGACTAATTTCATTTTACCAAAATAAAGAATTAGTTACCAGTTTTGGTACCCATTGGTTTTTCAGCAAGATGATCAAGTCTAAATTGTTTGTTTTTATAATGCTAAATCATTAGAAGATATTCAGTTTAAATATAGGAGTCAGAAATAAAAATGACTAAAAAGGCCATACATTTCGGTTTATACTCTTTTTGTAGGGGTTTTGCCGAGTAGAAGTAGAAATTAGTCTTCACAACATGGGCCATTTCAATTTCATCCAAATTGTGTTGCACGTGCACATTTTAATTTAATTCAATGACAAACCCAAGAATATTTTTTTACAAAAATAAAAAGATAGGGATAATTTTATTTATAGCTGAATAATTTCAGAGCAGTTATAAAAAAAAAAAAAAAATTTTTTTTTTTAAACTATTTTTTTTTTTATCTCCAGTTTTAAAAAATATTTAATAATGGCAACTATTTTTTTATTTTTTTATTTTTATCTCCAACTTGGATTTTATTGCTCACTCTAGGGTAGGGGTTGTCCAGACTTACATGCGAAGAGTATTCTAATAATGGCATATGTAAAAACTCAGTCAAATTGTGCATACAAAAAATATTTACAACTATTTTTTATTTTTATCTCCAACTTGGATTTTATTGCTCACTCTAGGGTAGGGGTTGTCCAGACTTACATGCGAAGAGTATTCTAATAATGGCATATGTAAAAACTCAGTCAAATTGTGCATACAAAAAATATTTACAACTATTTTTTTTTTTTATCTCCAACTTGGATTTTATTGCTCACTC